AACCAACTGAATCAGAAAGGTCAATCAATGAAAACCAAACCACTCTGCCTTGAAATATTTTTTGCATCAAGAAACATCTGGACATTATGAGAGAAACAAATTGCTTCACATGCACTGGTTCTTTGCATTATTCTGAGAACTGGCTAAAAATGAAAGTGCCTTAGTCTGGAGGGAAAAAACATAGCAAGAGCTGGGGGTTTGATATACAAACAGCTGATCAGATGCAGCATGTAACGTAACAGGTTGTCTCTATCTGTTAGACTTCACAGTTTTACATTAGGCATTCTTCATAGGAAGGTTTCAAGGAGGAAGGCTGGGCACCCAACTGCTTCTACTTCCAGTAGCAAAAAGGATGGAGAGAATGCTGAACTTTAACAGGTTGCAGTAAAATCCCTTGCACCTTCTTTCCTTCAACAGAAACCAATCAAGAATTTTATACTGCCTTTGTTTATCCTAAATGGAGTAGAGGAGCACACTCTCCATCTTAAAAGAGACCAGCCGCATTACTTAACGTATCTTCATTCAGTAGTGTGCGGATAAGAAGGACAATTATTTAAAAAATAAGCAATTACCTGCAATTACTTATTCTCTATTACTTCCAAAATCTTCATTAACTTCAAAAATACACTTTAAATTCTTAATGCCCACAGGCTTTCACACCTTCCTTTTAGCTAAACTTCTGTTGCCCTTTAATGATTTTAGATGCTTTGTGGCCTGCCTGATGTTATGTTGAAGTTATTTTTAAATAGAATTCAAGATAACCTCCCTCCATACAATCCAGGTAACAAAATGGGAAAGAGCAAAGATGTAACTTTCTCCTTTAACGAACGTCTTGAAGGTTATCATCTAACAGAGCATACATCATAAGTGTCATTTGTACATATGCTCCTTTTCAGAGAATCAATTAACAAACTAGAGAAAAAGGAAGTTTTTGTGTTTCATATGCAACTGGTAATGGTAAACAGCATTCTTGTTCTACAAAATCAACCCAAATGCACTTATTTTGACATTTTCTTCTCTTAAACACACATAAATTACAACAGTTACCTCTCTTCCATATTATGCTGACTATGAACTGTTTGGGGCAGTTGCAGCAATAGCAAGATGGCCAGCCTAGAAACATGAGTGAACCAAGTACAAAACAATAGAATGAGATAGTGTCACAAATTTAGAACTGGAGCTGAGCAGAATGTGGAACTTGATGGTTTAGCACTTTTTTCTGTTTGCCGGTTTAGTTTTTTATTATTCCTGATGTACATAACCCTCAAGCCAAAAAAACAGAACAAGATGTTTTCTTATACACACAGACTCCCTATCAATGCAATCCCATGATGATATCACCCATAAGGAGTATTATTCCCTAATCCTCCATCTATACTAAATACTCCAGGCACCACCTAGATATCCAGGGGAAATGTATGGTCCATGCGTTGTCTGTAAACCACCTCTCTCTGAGCCAGGGAAGCCTGGGACCTTCCTGCCATGAGCAAGCATGGACATCAGTTATGGGGCTAACCATCTTCACTGTGGCCAGCACTGGGTACTTATTTTATTAACTGACAACAACAAAAAATTGTAAAAGAGCAGACATTTCACATTTTTTTAGGGGCTGTGGAAGCATTTGTCCCCCATGGCCCCCCACTGCTCCAAGCTGATCTCTAAGCTCTATGGGAAGCTATGGCCAGCATGCAAAGGCAGACTGCAGCCCTTCAGCCTTCTTAACATCTCCTGCACCCAGAATGATGTCAAAATACTCTCAATAGTGCCCAGTAAATGTGATTTTGTAACAACTAACTCTTGTGAGATAAAGGAAAAAAGCAAGATGCAGAGGGAAATGTACAAACTGTAGAAAATACTACCCTTTACACTGTAGAATAATTGTTAAATACTAAAATTCAGAGTAGAAGATCTTTGTTAATTGGGATAGCAACAGAGTAAAACTTAAAAAAAAAAAAAATCCTATTGCATTTTTATAAAATGGACCCTGGAAGGTACTATGATTCTGGTTATGGAAGTGTGAGAGCTGTTATTTTTTAGAATCCTCTGCCACTCCTGTGCCTTCTGCAAAATCAGCTTACTCAGCAACTTTAATAATGCTGCATAATAGCAGTGAGAAGAAAGAACGCATAAAGCCTTGCTAGGACATTGTGTAGCTGGCACAATCAAATACATAATGTGGTGCCGATATGAAGAGAACATGGCCAAAACTGAACAATACTTCACAAACAAATCAAATGCATAGATTTAGTCCAAGTCCTTGGCTCAGGATTTCTAGGATGATGGGGTTTTAATGGTAGCAAAATTAACAGACTTTTCCACAAAGGTACAGGAGACTGCCTAATGCAAAAGCACATTGGTACTCCTGTAGAGTGATGTAAAGGTTGTAGCAGAGAAAGGATCCTCTCTGGAAAATTCAACTAATTCCAAGTGCTTCCCACACTGAGCACACCAAAGCACAGAAAATTCACAGATTCTAGGAACAGAGTTTCTCGTTCACCATCCTCTAACAAAAAGAATGTCATCTTGCCCTGCCATGTGGTGCTCTTAAGAGATGGAAAGCATCAGGGCTGCGGAGAAACGATTCAGCTGCATAGCAGGCAGAGGGCAGCTGTGATGCATGGGAACACCACACAACACTTTTCTGTTACGGGAAATTTTCAGCACATGCAAAAATATATAATATGCAGGAAGTTAAATGTTGAATTCTGTTCAGTGCTTTTATTTTCACAGGACAAATCCTCTTTCTGGTGAACCTGAAAGAGTATCCCTTTCCTCCTCATGCCTTCTCTTCCTACCAGTAGTAGCAATAAATCCATACATTACAATATTAATCCATTATCAGTTTATATGGGAAAATACAGGCTGAAATAAAGGCATAGAAAGAACACATTACAAAAAAGCTATACCATGTATAGCTCATTAGCTCTGAGCTGATCAATACAGCATATAAACTGATAGAGACATGTGATGCCAGGCTCCTCACATCTAGGATGTAAATCCTGTGATAGTATTTTTATAATACCAGCCAAACATTGTCATACATTAACACAGAAATCTCAAAATTCAAAGTAATCATGTGTAAAAACTAATTTGAGAATGAGGACTACATTTTAGAATATGGTGTTTAAACCTAGAATTATAAGCTGAAAGTTTTGAATGGCATTACAGCAAAGTAGCTGAATCAAAGGAGGAATCAGAATGTAAAACTAAGTATTTGGATTTTTTATTAAAGAATTAAAAAGATAAGGTCCTTCCTGGTTGAAAACTTTACCCTCATGTGACAACATTAATGTCTCTGAAGTTACTAACAGAGAAATAATGCTTAACGTGACGAATTGGAAACAGATACAGAGATGCCTGCACATATAAATGCAGATATATGCACATATAAATGTAGCGAGATTAAAATTAACAGAGAATATGCACTTCACAGATAGAAGTAACTCAAGAGTTCCTCCAGAGGCCTCACCTTTGTTTCAAAGTAAAATCGACTTTGCATATACTTAAAACTGTTTCTGACCCCAAATGTCTTTAAAGCCATTTTGTGATCACAACCCAATGCCTTGAAAAGCAAATTAAATATATTCTTGCAGCATCTCTTTAGTACTTCACCTACAGGCAAAAGCGCTAATCACAATTTGCACTACATAAAATAAAAGGTCCCCATGCTGGTCAGAAACCTACCACCGTCGACAGCATACTGCAATGAAAAATAAACCAGTGTTGAGACTGAATAGTCTAAAACCTTCCACTGTGATAAAATCATAGAAAACAGGAAATTAAAAAATTGAAAATGGTTAGAAGGGACCTCATCTGACCTAGTTCAGCTGCCTGCCCCAAGAAGGGCTCATTTTTAAGGCATGTCTGGTTGCTCAGGGCTTTGTACAGGCAAGACAGAAAGATCTCTGAGAGCAGCAATTCTGCAGCCACTCTGAGCGCTTGTTCCAATGCTAAACAAGCCTTGGAGTGAAGATTTCCCTCATTACAACTCAGGCTCACTGCCTCTTGTCCTTGCTCTCCATCCCTGCTCTCTTTTCAAGAAATACCTTACACTAATCCATATGGATTTTTTAATTTTTTTTTAAATGGCAAAATCCTATTATCAGAAAAGGACTGGAAGGCACCTCAAGAAGTCATCTTATTTCTCCCTTTGCTTTAAGGCAGCATTAACTGTATCAATGTCTTACCAATGTTGTGCTGGAAACCCAACAAGAAAACTATACCACTGCTTTGCTAGCCTTACACCCAGATTGTTTTTTAACACCTAACCCAATTTCTCTTTCATAGCGTCACTTGGCATTATGGATACCTAGCTTCAGCTGGGTAACTGAGGACAGACAGCTCTCCAGGTATGTAAACTATGGCATAAACAACTTGGAACATACCTAAAGCCCCATGCAGGTCTTTAATGGACTAAGTAGATCTGCTGTAGGATACTTGCACACAGAGCTATTTCAGAGCTCCTGCCTAACCCCACTAAGTTTAGCAATTAAAAGAAAGTTAATTAAGAGAAATTATTATTTAATAAATTAATTTTCTGGTGCCAAAAACATTAAGTTACATCTGGAAGGACAAATATAAGCACAAACAGTCCAAGTTTCACAAATTCCCAAGATTAGAAGAGGTGCTCTTGCTTCCACCATAGAACTACTCTTCTGCACACACACTACACCTCTGGGCAGTGAGCCCAACATGCTGGTTTATATTTGGGAATATTTCAGGCATGAACAATTACAGATTTCACAAATGAGGTCACAGCTGATCAGGAATGTTTCAGGTGACAATCACTGATGCCCAAAATCTTTTACTTCAGGTACTAAAACAGAAGTCTCCCCACAAAACCAGAATACCAGGTTGACATTATCTTCAGATATACAGTCTTTTAACAGCCAGGTTTTGGTACAAATTTCACTCTGTCACTGTCAGGGAGGAATAAGCTGTTTTTCACAGGCTTCACTTCATTCTCCAAAGAGTAACGTACAACAGAAAAATGTCAGAATTTAGAGTTTTGCTTTTTTTTTAATTCAACAACCTGCTTACAGAAAAATGAATAGAATCAAGCAAAAGTCTACATTAAATACTATACAAAATATTAACATTGTTGAGGAACTAGGGCCCGAATAAGCTCACTCTCTACATTCTCAGCCATCTGAACTGCAGCTTATAGAACAAAACAATAATATCTGAAGGGTTTCTTAGCTGCAATTCATTGCGACACACAGGAGAACCCCAGCCTTTGAGAGGCTCCTGCTCAGCAGAATTTGCTAAGATGAAAGCAGTCAACTGTACTGAAATAAAAACCAAAGCAGTTTACAAATAAAGAACAGTCAAATATAGTAAATACACTTTTCTTTTAAACAGCTGAAGCCACAGTGCTCAAGGACACTTTCAGAGGACAAACCCCAGATTTTCTGCTCTGGAAATGTACTTTGCAGGAAGTGCTACAAAGTAATGCCCTGTAGGCAATGACATCTCCAGAAACTTTCAGGAAAGGACAGATTACCACAAAAAGTTTCAATGGCAATCTTTGAGTAAAGGTCTTCAGAAAGATCCAGTAGCTTCAGAACAGAGCCATCAGCAATCACTGAGCTCCTTCACAGTCCATCGCTGCCATTTTTAGTACAGTTGTTACAACAGCTCAGATTTTCCCTCTCTCCAATATAAAGTGGTGTCAGTTTATGGAATTGACAATTTTAGAGCTATCAAAGGCCATCTTAAGGAGGAGGATCTTCTCCTCGAATAGCTTTGTACTTTGCCATGTCTTCCGGGAACACCTTTGTTAGTTCTTGAATTAGCAGACTTTTAAATTTCTGGAAAGAAAAGGCAGAACATATACACCACCTGCATAATATATTTACATTTTCTCAAGCAATGTTCTCTAATTAATGGAAGTGTTTGTATACAACAATACATTTCAATGACCTAAGAGAATGGTACCCCCCCAAAAAATACCTCAAAAACCACACACAGAAATACAGATAGTTATGTTTATAAAATTTACAGAAAATGCTCAGATGAAATCTACTAAGAAAGCACCAGGCAAATTAAAATGCTTTCAGTTTCCCTTAAATTAACTAGTATTTTCGCCTAAGAAATACAAAATAGTTAAACCTCTCTGATAAATTCTGATGCGTCAACATCTGCCTGATCTTGTTAAGCAAAGCTGATAAAGGACATCCCCTTGATCTGACATGGAATCCCATCCACCTCCGGAACTCGCACCTGGCTTAGAAATACGTAATTCTTCCTACAGCTTTTACAAGCACAAAGCATATCAAGTATCTGCATTCTGCAGCACCACTTTTAAGTTCAGGTAATGCATGTTTTGAAACACAAACAGCCCTTTCTCAAGTCTCACTAAACTTCCTTTTCTGAATGTGTATTTCAGGAGTAAGTCCAGCACTTAATCAGTGCAGCAGAATGCCTGGATTCATACTAGGTGAAAGTACAGGTTCAGAAAACTCTAAACACTTTCATGCATTTTAAATAATTCTATAAAGATTAACTCATGATTATGTAGTACATTTAACATCTTAATACTCTTAATATCCATTCAAGACTGGAAAAATACCCCTTCTGTTTTGCTTATTGATAAATTCACACACACCACAGTTAGAAATCTACAACTGTGAGAGGTACTTTCTAGCGTTCAATATGAAAAACAAATGCCCTGTAATGCTACGTGCAACTTTAACCAAAGTAAAATCATAGTGACATCTGCATCGCCAGATGTGGGATGAGTTATACCGTTTCTTTTAGAACAGGCAACATTAGCATCAATTAAGGTAGAGGGATTCAGAGCAATTCCTAATACAAATCAACTAATAAGGGAGTTCAATAATTGCACAAGTGAAAACCCACAACGTACCTACAGGAAGGTTAAAAACTTATCAAATACATTATTACATTACTACTTTCATTACTTCTGGTTTACCTTCATCGTGTCAATTTTTCCTTTTACTTGCTCATTTTTAGCCAAAGCTCGCTCCAGACACTCTTTAGTGTAAAGCTGAGGATTGCGGCCTTGATCTATGTATCTGAAAATAGAAAAGAAAGATACTACCTACATAATTATTCACCTTGTTGTCTGTTGCTACTACTATCCGAGATGCTCATTTTAAAAAATGCATTTCAACTCAGCCATTTTCAAAAGACAGTTCAAGCAGGGCACACCTCAATCGGCAGACACAGAAGTGTATTTTTGCTTTGCAATGTATGTGCCTGAGAAAGGGAAATTCCATCACTGAGTAAAGAACACTCTTGGTTTTATAGATAGAGTGAAAGCCTAACTGAAGTCCTGTATTGCCAGCAACACACTAGAACATAGCAAACCAGAATCATCTGGACTTATACAAAACACTAGTAAATTAACTTGTCAGCTCTACTGTAAAAGCTCTCTTGTAGAGCTCTTGTGCTATATTCATAATTTTATTTTTAAATTCTTGCCAGCAAGAATTGCCACTACTGAAACAAAGCATCTAAGTACTGGCCTAATGTACTTCCACCTGCAACTTTAAATCCTGATTTGACCCTAGTGTAAAAGCACGTTTCCAAAATCAAAGCTTATCTACCAAACCACTAGGCTCAGCAAAATCTGTATTAACATCTATATATCTAAATTCAGCATAAATAAAAAAATAATAATTAAAAAAAAAAAACACAAAAAGCCAAACAACCCAAAACCAGACCAAAAAAAAAAAAAATAAAAAGAGATCTGAAAGCAGGCATATAATTAATCACTTCTCTTATTCTCCCGCCTTCTCACAGACTGAAGGTACTTCTTACCTTCTTCTGCCTGCTCATGTTCTTATGAGGCATTTGGAAAAGGGGAGTTTAAGAAACAAGCAGTCCTCAGTGAAAATACAGAATCATAGACTGGTTTGGATTGGAAGAAACGTTAGAGACCATCTCATTCCAATCCCCTCTGCCATGGGCAAGGACAACTCCCACTGGACCAGCCTGCTCAAAGCCCCAGCCAACCTGGCCTTGAACACTGACAGGGATGGGGCTGCCACAACTTCTCTGGGCACCCTGTTTCTGTGCCTCACCACCCTCAGCAGCAAAGGCACGCTATTTCATACCACCCAAGTACAGCACCTTTCCTTCTAGGCAGAACGTTACGTACTCAAACACTTCCAGGGGCACACTAATATCGTGCAGCTGCTGCCGGCACTTGTCGATATCCTGCAAGCCCGTCACCATGAAATTCCTGTAAGAAGAAAACGGGTTGTTCTCAGCCAAGAAGGGGCGGTACTGCGCTAACCCTAACCCCGGCTGCGAGGGAAACCCCGGCGAGCGCCCCTGCCCCTCCGCCTGCGTTAGGGTGACAGATCCCGCCGGCAGCGGCCTCCGGTACCCCGAGGCTGCCGGCTGAGGGGCAGCGAGGCCCAGCGGCCTGGCTGTGTAACGCAGGAGGAGAAGGAGGTGCGCCGGATGCCTCACAGTTTCTGGTTGAGCCCAGCCTGGCTGCTGGGCTGGAAGTCGCTGACGATGATGCCGAGCTGCCGGATGTTCTCCACAAACTTCTCTAGGTGCTCCTCCAGCGAGTCAAACTTCTCCGCCATCGCCATGACTGCCGGCACGCCCCCACCACTTCCGGCCGCTCACGCAGGCGCGGAAGGAGGGAGGCTGCATTGGTCACGCCCCTTCCACGCCCCAGGAGTCAGGCCACGCCCCCGCCACGCCCCCGCCACGCCCCCGGTCCTGCTCCCTCGGCCGCGTAAATGCAGTTTGTCGCTTCCCATGGCTTATGTTAAATTACGCGTCTGGCTCCACGGAAGGATGTTCTGTCCACCAGCAAGTGGATAATGAATTCGACACAAAGTATATGACCTATAAATCCTCTTTGCACGAGTCGTATTTGCTTCGGTCATCCCGGATTTATTAAATATGTGATCACAAGTAATGAGAAATGCTTCTTACCTTGGAGCTAATCGATACAAAACTATAATCAGCATCTTTTCTAAAAGCCAGGTAGTTGGAGTTTGACAACATGGATCATTCAGTAGCTCTCAGAACTGCTTTACTTTCTTCTGTTATCATATAACATCCTTTGGAACTTTCCGGTAGATCCCAGTGGAGCAGGAAGCACACAGTGTGATTGATAAGATCTTTGAATAAATTGCCAGCACCCCTTTTGGAATGGTAATATTTGAAATCTCAGTACTAATTGATACAGACATGGCCTGCTGTGTCTAGATCCTGATGTGCAGAGACAGGACTTCTTAAAGACAAGTCTTTCTTGCCAGCCCACTCCTATAAACCTGCAATAATTTACTCTCATTGTTTTCCTGTCAATTACCTTTTTGTCTGTCCTCAACAAATATTAGCACATTGCCTATATTTTCAGCCTATCATTTGGAATGTCTCTGCTTTTGAGTGGTTTGCCTTCCTGGACTGTGTAGATGTAAAATCATTCCTCATTTTCAGACCCATTCAAATCCTGTGTCTGTCTCTAATTTGTTTACCACCACCACCACCCTGCACTCAAACTCCACTCTTGAACCATTCTCAATGCAGAGCCTACTCGCTTCTTGAAAACTTTCCAGAAAGGTGTCTGTGTGCCCTTTACTGTAGGTGGGGCTGCTGGTGAGTATCCCATCACCTCCCTGTGTCCCATCCAATTCCTCATTAAATTGCCTCCTCACCCACAGCTGCTGCCAGCTGGTAAAGGCTCTGGGTTAGGGATCATCCCTGTGAAGACCCTAGCACCCTATTCATGGGTAAAAGTCCTGCAGACAACTGGGATATAGGTAACTGCATAGATCTAAAGAGCAGATCTATTTCTGCCTGTTGTAGACTTCATGTCTAATCAGTAGGTATGTTCAGTTCACACCTGATCCCACTTACAAAGTCAGCCCTCAGACCTTCTTTTTATCTGGTAACAAAAATGCAAACCCAGAGCTCAGGACACCTGGATTTCCATCTCTCTTTTTTTATCCGCAAGGATCAGAGCCTGCAAAAAGCCTTGGCCTCAGAGGCTGGGATATATTTGGCAGTGGAGTCCATTCAGTCCCTGTGGCTGTTCTACGTTGTGCAAAAATTAAGTATTGCTTGAGCAATGGGCAGAGTGGTTTTGGCGTGTCACACAAAAGAAATGGAGGAACCAGGGACTGATTATCTGATAAGGGCTCTTTATCTTCCCCACCTGTCTTATATCTGCTAATTATGTATTTCTCTAAACTATGTAATAAATAGAAGCAGTAATAGTAATAGAGGTTCACTTGATAACAAACAACACAGTAGAATTATCTGGGTAATGACAAAATATCAGTCTATATTAAATAATCCAGCTATCATTTTCCCTGTGGGGAGATTATCTGACATCCTTAAATTCCCATGGCACATCACAATAACTGTATGTTTTATAAATAGATTATTTCCAGTATGTCTGTTTTCAGGTGAATCTGAGAAGATCAGTCCAGTAACATCAGCAGATAAGAATCTGGTGCTTTGATTCACAGTGAAGGATTTGAGTGAATGTTTGTAGTTAGAACTAAACTAAAATAAATATGATATTCAATCAGTATTAGATTTAATGTATTTTATGCATTTGTAGCTATAACTTGCAACCACTTCTGTTCCACAATGTGAACCATCAAAAACAGCAATTCTTAATTTCTTGGATGCATCTTTTTAGTAGTTATATTTTTCCACTTATTATATCAATGAGAAAAACAAAAATGTAAACAACACCCTAATGGTCAGGTTCTTTTCTGGGTCACCATGCTAGTTCAACAGCAGCAAGTTGGGTCTTTGCTAAATATAAAGCACTGTTCAGCGGTTTGTAAGATTAAGTATGCTAACCCAAAGTTAAAATACAAGTGACTGTAAAGAGCACTAAATATTAAGAAAAATATAATGCTGTACAGATGTGAAATTATAAAAACAGTCCGAGGCTGCAAAAAGCAATGTATGTTTACTAGGCTAGTTAAGTTACATTAATGAATTCTGTTAGATAAATGTATACAGTGCCTTTAAGACTGAAAATTGCTGTACATATATTACCAGTTATTAAATTTTTCTCAAGATCACCAACTAGAGCATTGTTTTCCTGTTTGGGGAAAAGGAAGTAAACCAAAGAAAGCTGTGTTCCTATGAGAGGAGTGGGAAGAAAGAAAGGTCTGACAAATTAATCGATCAATAAGCACATAGAGCAGAAAGATTTAGAAAAGAATACCATAATTTATATTGTAAGTAACTATATTGCACTCCTACCCTGATTTCCATGCAAGAAAGCAAGCAATTACTGGCTTGTAAGCTGGACATCTGTGCTGGGCAGTTAAGTAGGGTTTGTAATAAAGGACAGAATGAGAGGCTATGTGGATCAGTATGACCCATTTTGGAAGACTGGCACAGATTACATAGAAGAAAATCCTTTTTTGTAAACCTCTAATGAATTTTTCCAGGGGTCAGTAATGATATTACGTAAGACTGTTTAATTGATACAATCTATGTCCCGTCAGCTTCTGGTGAAATCCTTAGCCAAAGTCTTTGAAGGAACTAAAGCAATGGCATAAGGGGAGAAATCCTAGACTGAATAAAGAACTGATTGCCAGATAGAAAATGAACAATAGGGGCAAACGTTTAATTCTTGCAGGGGAGAATTGTTTCCAGAAGAGTTTTACAGGGAAGTGGTCTGAAAATTGTGCCATTCAGTATGGTCTCAGGTGACCCAGAAGAGAGATCAGTTGGTGCAATGAGAAAATTGGCTAATGAGAAAGTTATTTGGCAGAATAAAGATGAATACACATTGTAGGACCTGAAAAGGCTTGGTGGCTGCGCAACAAAGTGTCAGAAGAAATTCAGACAGATAATGTAAAGCATTGCGCATAGCAAGAAAAAAAACCCAAAACCCTAGTTTCACATGAAGATTCACATCCTCTTGACCATTACCATACAGAAACAAGACTGAAGGATCACATTAGAAAGTTCCATGATAACATTAGCTCAGTGATTGGCACTGGTCAGACGTCATATGGAGAGTTACGAGTTGTTAGAAAAGGAATTTGCGAACAAAGGAGAAAATGTCACTGTGCTACTGCATAAACCCACAGTTCACTCCAAACTTGAATACTGTGTGCAGTTCTGGTTCCCTGGAGGAGATCTGGAAAAGAGTCAGAGAAGGGCTGCCAAGATGACTGTAGATGTGAAATAGCTCCTGTACTAGGAAAACATGAATAGACAGGGACTCTTCAGCTTGAGAGAGAACCCACTGATGATAGCTATGACTGATACTTTCCTGTATTTACAAAGCCACAAGTGGTCTGGGGCCTAGGCTGTCTTTCAGCCTAAAAACTAGGGGCCATCAAGTTAAAGACAACAAGAGACAGCTTCAAAGCCTGCAGAAAGAGATGATTTTTCTCAAGCAAGGTTTAACAGTCTTGTTGAACTATTTGCCAATGTATACTATGGATAGAAAAAACTTCGCTGAGTTGAAGGGGGAGTGGAACAAATGCTTGATAGAGAGAATCAGACAGAGGTAGATAAACCCCACCTGGCTCAGGAAATCCCATGAACCAAAGGTAGTCCGAGCCAGGAGAGTAGTCGGGAGTGGTCTCATAGATGTTTTTCTTATCATTACTCTTCAACATTTGCTTCTGCTCACTGCTGAGCACAGGATACTGTCTCACATGGAGCCTTTATTTGAATCTGTGTGGTTACTGTTAGGAGATCCTGCTTGAACTGTCAAAAAATGACCTTTGCTCTGTAGGATGGAGGCAGATTACAGAGTGTTTACTTACCAAGCAGAGCATAAAAAGATTGATTTGAGACTGTATATATGCCCTTCAGGTCTGGAAAAACCTCAGCTCACTATTTTCTCTTTTGGTGGCATATATACTCCAGATAAATTACTTTTCCATTATAATATGGCACAACACGGTGTTTAATTAATGAAAGTGCTTGTATAGTCCTTTTTCTTCTCAGAAATATAAAGAGCAACAAATAAGTCAGCTGTTTATACATCACTGGAACTGTGATTCTCCTCCCAGCTCCTGTTTTCTGCTGCTGGCTAATAAAATGGAAGAAGTGAATAAAGAAAATGAAACACACTGAGTTCCAGTGGCGTGTGTTTTCTCGCTTTCTTTCTTGCTTTCTGTCTTTGTTACTATTTCCTTCTCCATGATTGTATCTAATGCACTGATAACTTCTTCCTCATTCTTCAGACCCAGAAATGGAGGTTGAAAGTTCAAGTCATTAACTGGGAGCATCATCTGCCTAAGAACTCCATTTTATAAGCCAGCTACCCTTTTTATTTTAATTACAAGTGATAAGCAAAACAGAAGCAGGGAAGATAGACATGAGCAGCATAGAGGATGCCATTTACCTGCTCTTGGTATATCAAGTTGATGGTATTTATGTTTAGGATGGTTTTTGACTCACTCAGAAGCATGCAGTATTTTCACATTTTCCTGGATAAAAATAATGTGATAGAATAAAATAAACAACTTTTTAAAATCCCATTATGCAGCTGAATAAGAGGTCTAATTAGTTTCCACACGGATTTGGTATTTAACAACTTGTTCATTAATGACTTTCAATCACGTCTTGCCACAAATAAGCAGGATGATGCATTTATGCATCATGGCTGGATCTCAGTCTTACAGAAATAATCTGAATTTA